TAAACTCCACTCCTTGATCAGCTGACCTAATCATGGAATCGTGAAAAGATTCAAACTATCACTAAAACATCAGAAACTCATTGATTCCATAGTGGTTTGATAGACTGCTTGGTGCTGCAGAAAGTAAGACAAGACAAATTTGGCTTTTGCCCTTGAGATCTGTTGGATCTAAGAGAAGACTGATGCAGACTTAGAAGACATGCAGCACTGAATAGCTTCATAGATCATTTTGCTGTGCTCATCTTAAACATCGCAAAGCATATTTCCAAAAATTTCATACCAACTGGTAGAAATAACCCATGAGAAACCCAGTGATGCTCAGAGGTGGGTGCTTCACCTGACAACAGGGCTCAGAAGTCTGTACTTCCATCCCCTTAGTCCTAACCAAAGGCCATGCTTTTTGCTTCAGTGACACAGAAGCATGTCTCAGCAAATAGGAAATCAGCTGCACAATTTAAACTGGCATTGTTCAAACATAACTGTTCTCCTTATCTTTAATACAGTGGGTCAAAATTCCACTCTTCCTGTTAGAATAGTGTGTTAGGATATCTAAATGAAATTATGAAGATAAGAATCAAGTCCTGATGTTTTGTTTTAAAATTTCTGGGAATTGGGTAAGAGGAGACAGCCCAGGAGCCTATTGGAAAGTAGTCTTCACTGAGGTAAAACCTGGAGAATATGGATATAAGTACCTTCTAGTTTTTATAGATACCCTTTCAGGATGGGTAGAAGCATTTCCAACCAAGCATGAGACGGCTCAAGCAGTAGTTAAAAAGTTGCTGGAAGACATCTTACCCAGGTACCGCTTCCCAGTCTTGGGAGGGTCGGATAAGGCCTAAGGTAAGTCAGGGACTCATGTCTATTCTTGGGGCAGATTGGAAATTGCATTGTGCTTACAGACCCCAAAGTACAGGACAAATAGAATGAATAGAACTCTAAAAGAGACCCTAACCAAATTGACATGGAGACTGGGCAGCCCTCCTTCCCTATGCCCTGTATAGGGTATGAAATTCTCCTTATAAATTAGGAGCCACGCCCTTTGAAATTATGTTTGGCATACCCCCCCCCATAATCCCCTGCTTGTCTGAACACCTGCTTGTAGAATTTGATGACTTCCCTAAAAGCCCTGGACAAGCCCACCAGGACGTGTGGCCCCACCTTAAAGCTCTGTACCAGACAGGACCCCCTCCTCAGCCGCACAGCTTCCGTCCCAGAGACTGGGTCTACATAAAGAGACATCGACAGGACTCACTGCGACCTCGCTGGAAGGGACCCTACGTCGTGATCCTCACGACGCCCACCGCTCTCAAGGTTGAAGGAATGGCCACCTGGATCCACTCCTCTCATGCAAAGCCAGCGGACCCATCCTCTGTGAGGAGCGACTTCATTCCGGATTCCAACTCCAAGTGGCAAGTTACTCGCCACAAGAACGATTTTCTTAAACTTAAGATAAGGCGTTTAGACCCTAGTTAGGATGCTGTTATTAGGCTGGCTGCTTATTCCTGCTTACATTAGTACTGTTCATTGTAATAACCCCCATTTTCCACATAAGTGGACCTGGGTAATCCAGAATCCAGCAAGTGGACATAACATAGTCTTGGCGACTCAGGAAGGACCCCAGACATGGTTCCCGGACCTAGAGTTCAATCTTTGCCACTTGGCTGAGGGGTCATGGAAACAAACAAAACAAAAAGGCTCTGACACACCCATCCATTATATGAGAAAGAGGTACCTGAGCTCTGATGGCCCAAAGGGTCCTCCCTGTAAAATGGACACCCGGTACATATGCCCCGGAGAGTCCCGCCCCCCAGAATGCGGGAGTTCTGCAGAATATTATTGCAAGCAATGGGGACGTGAGACTAGTGTGGGAGGGTCTGGAGCCTGGGAGGTCACCAAAAGTGACTTAGCGAAATACTCCAGACCACATAATCGGAACTCCTGGATACAACTCAGATTCACCTCAAAAGGAAAAGCGGCACAAGGATGGGAACAAGGAAAATCTTGGGGAATCAGACTTTACCGGATAGGAAGCAGTGGTGAAGGACTCATTTTCACTCTCAAGGTTTTAAAGACCCAAATTGTGCCCACTGTGGTGGGACCTATAAAAGCCCTGGCCCCATCACCACCAGCTAACATCCCCATTATGCCTGAAAGTACCCAAATACCTAAGACTACCCAGAGGGTCCCTGAGGAAAGGGACCTAAACTCTCTACCTGAACTGCCCCACCTAGTCGTGCCCGGCATTTCAGAGAAGAACGCCTTGGGAGCTCCCTTGGGGAAACTACTGCTAAAAACCTATGATGTTATAAACAACACCCAGCCCCAGGTGACAGAGTCCTGTTGGACGTGTTATGATATGCAACTCCCCCTTTATGAGGGGATAGCTCTCCCAGGAAGTTACACACTGACCAGCAAAGTACAGGACTGCCGGTGGGAACCAGTGGAATCTGGACTTACCTTGGAGAAGGTTATTGGAAAAGGCAGCTGTGTGGGAAACCCTCCACCCTCCCTGCAGCATTTATGCCATCAGACTTCCCCTCTCCCCACCCAAATGACTTGTCTATTACCATCAGAAAACAGTTGGTGGGCATGTGACACAGGCCTGACCCCCTGTGCTCACACGGCCGTGCTCAACCATGGTTCAACCTCTACCCAGATTAATTTACCACTCTGAAGAAGAAGTGGTACTCAGATTAGAAAGTAAGGAATTACAAAGGAAGGTAAAGAGAGAAGTAGCTGTAGCCATATTAACCGTAGGAACCCTGTTAGGAGCAGTAGGAGTGGAAACTGGAACAACGGCCTGATTGAACAGCACTCCTATTTTTCCAGTCTGAGGGAAGCCATAGATGAAGACATCCAAGAACTACAGAGACAGGTGAAACATTTGGAGGAATCACATGCATCCCTTGCAGAAGTTGTGTTTCAAAATCAAAGGGGATTAGATTTAGTCTTTTTACAACAATAAGGACTTTGTGCAGCGCTAGGGGAAGAATGTCGGGGTAATCAGACAATCAATAGCCAGAGTACAGGAAGGATTGGAGAAGCGGACTATTCCCCTGGCTCACAAATTTAATTTCAGCTTTGGTTGGACCCTTACTTGTAATTATGCTTGCCCTAATAGTAGGACCCTGTATTATAAATAAGTTTGCAGCCTTTGTAAAGGAAAGGATCAATACAGTCCAGTTAATGGTGTTGAGGGCCCAATATCAGCCCCTAGACAGAAATAATAGAACTGAACCCTATAAGCTCACTCAGAGGAACCCATGATTGGCTTCCAAGGTACCACCCCCCCCCAAAAAAAAAAAAAAAGAAATGGGGGAATGAAAGACTTAAGTAATCTCATTCTGCTTGGGGCATCATTTTGCTCTGAAACTTAACCTCTGACCTACTCTAGTCCTAAAGTCAGGAAAATACTGCAGAAAAGCTCTGTGGAAACAGTTCTCGGAAAAGCCCAGATGGTGATCACCTAAGATAGGCCAAGATATCGAAATATCGGATTCCAGATGGCCCCCACCTAGGTGTGGTGACCAATATCTAAACTAGAAGCCCTGCAGCTTGGCACAAACCCCCCTTGTGACATCCTCATGGTTTGAATCAATCAATTTTAAGTGCATCAGCCCCTTGAACTAACCAATCATTCTTTCCAGATTCTCTCCCACCACTTGATACACTAATCATGTTTTAAGAGTTGTTATTTGATTTTCCCACGGTGTGTGATGATTTGCTAAGAGATGCTATGATGTATGTGGGGGTCCCTGCCTTCTCCAAAGAATGTATAAAACGGCTGCAAACCCTGGGCTCAGGGCCTCTTAGTATCACCTGTTGCTGTGTGTATGCTCGGAGGACTGAGCTAGCTCGCAATAAACACCTCTTTGCTGTTTACATCGATCTTGGTCTCTGGTGGTCTTTTGGGGGTCCCGAATTCGAGCATAACATGCTCAGCACAGTGATTTGCACATTTTGACTCTATCAACTTCTAAAATGAGTTGATCTGTCCACCTAAGTCTGCCCAATATGAACTTGCTCTTAATGTAGTCTAACTATTAGAGTTTTTCTTACTTTTTTGATGTTTTGAAAGGCTTTCAAGAATAGTCAAGGAGGATTGGACATGATAGTGTACACCTGTAATCCCAGTGATTGGCTTGGGTGCCTGAGACAGGAGAATCGCAAGTTTGAGACCAGTCTCTGCAACTTAGCAAGATCCTAAGCAACTTAGTGAGACCCTGTCTCAAAATAAAAAAAATAAAAAGAGCTAGGGATGTGGCTCAGTGGTTAAGACCCCCTGAGTTGAATCCTTGGTACCAAGACAATAAAAATAAAATAACAATAGTCAAGGAGGGGCTCTGGTGGGTAGAAGGCTGGGGAATTTCCCATTTACAGAATCCTAAATAGACTTGACATAGTGCCAATAACGACTTTTTTTTTTTTCAGTTGTAGTTGGACACAATATCTTTATTTTATTTATTTATTTTTATGTGCTGCTGAGGATCAAACCCAAGGCTTTGCATGTGCTAGGCGAGCACTCTACCACTGAGCCACAATCCCAGCTCCAATAACCACTTATTAATAAATCAGATTTTTAAAAATGAAAGTAATTCTAGGATTATGGGGTTTAAATCCTTCCTTTTACAAGTAGGCCATCTAAAAGCTGAGGCTAGCCCCTATGACCTGACTCAATTATCTATATTTATTGCGTAGCCTCCTGGGTGGAAGTTTCTGTACGTGCATTTGGTTTAGCTTACTCTAAGACATCTCTTTTCCTTGAACCCTTGATAGGTCTGTCAGTTTCCTCAAGGGACTCCAGCCTAGCAGGATTTTAATCTCTATTTGGATGGTGACCTCAGCTATAAAAATTTTAGCTGAGGTTTTAATGGCCAGACTTAAGTGAATTTAACGGCTACGCCAGCGGGTGTTCCAATTACATACACCATTAAAGGGCTTTATGTGAGGATTAAAAAAAAATTACTATTAAAAAACACTAAACTCCATGGGCAGCACAATTTACCAGTGGGGACAATTTCGATGTCCTGGAAAAGTTTCATATAAAAAGGAAGCGAGGTGAGTGGAAAAGTCACAGAACTCAACACACCTCGAAGGCCGCTTGGGATCCTTTTGACACTTTGCCTCCAAACAGGTAAAACGCTTTGTACTTGGAACGCTGTCAGTCTGTGGTGTTAGTCTCAGCTCGCATGCTATCCTGTGTCCTTGGGGAACTTTACACCCCAAAGGTAGAGTCCAGGCCAGACGGTGTATAAAGCAGGCTTGTCCTTCACTGACCTCGTCACCGCAGCTGCGGAGATTGGGCCTTTAGGACACCCAAGATCCAATGAACTGTGCCACTTGGACTTTAGGCTCTTCCCCCATCCAATGAAAGTGAGTCTGAAGACACATTTCATCAGCTAAATACAGGCTTCCTTGGAAAGGAAAGCATTGGCTCTGCCACTCATCTCTTCCAAGTGGGTTGAGTCCTTTCTTGCTCTCGCAGCTGGTCTCTCACAGCAGTAATGCTTGAAAGATTAGAGAGAAGAGTCAGAAAAGTGCATCAATCCCATAGTGTAGCCATTTGCAGTCCAGCACCTTCAGCCAGAGACACCTAGCAGGGGCTGTAGCAGCAGAGTGGAGCAGGTGGCGCAATTCTTTTAAATGGAAGAGTTGAAACCAACTGGAAAATGGGGAAATGGGAAGGTGGAAAGACGCACTTGATCAGGGAGGAGGTCTTGGGTTTTAGAGAGCCAAACAAGCAATCAAAACAATCCTGACTCCTTTGGCACAAAAAAATACTGAATATGTGAGCTCAGCATTCTGATTTTGGTCCCCAAAACAGTCAAACAGAGGTCTGTGTGTGAAATCAGGAGTGTAACTTACACTTGCCACAGGTTGGAGATATAGATGTGGGTCTTGTCATCCAGAATTCTCTGTGGTCTGTTTTCACTGAGAGTTCAGTCTGGGTCTGTTTTGATTGTGCTTTGAAGTTCCTTAGAATGGAGCCCACTCCCAGACTCCTGGCTGGACTCCTCCTGCTGACCCTGTGTGTGCAGGGCTGTTCCAGCCAGCACTGGTCCTATGGATTGCGCCCTGGAGGAAAGAGAAATGCAGAAAGTTTGTTTGATTCTTTTCAAGAGGTGAGTTTCTCTTTCTCTCTCTCTCTCTCTCTCTCTCTCGGCTTCAAAATAAGACTTATTTTGATAAGACTTAGCTTATTTGGTTCAACTTAACTAAATAAAAAAGATCCAGTGTGGCACTAGGTTATACTCCACCCTGGCTAGGTCAGGAGGAAAGGACTCTTACAAAGCTCAAGTCCAGTTTCTACATTCAGTTCGGTCAGCTGCTGATGAAACAGAGCACAGCAAACACCGGGGGAATACGACCATGCAGTACGTCAGTCATGCTCTCCGTGGGTGCAGTTCCACGGGAATTAGAAATAACTGGGGGAAATCCAGGGTCTCTAACAGGTGATTCTTTGCATTTGGGAAAGATAATCTTAAAATTTCTGCTAATTTTTTTTTCTATTTCATCTAAATCTACAATATTAGATCAGTAGTATATTTCAAAATGTGTAAATAGGTGTCCTCATGGAGGAGGTATGCTCTAGATTTCTTTTCACCCATAGAAGCATTTAAGCAAGGAAGTGGGAGTTAGCAAATTTAAGACAAGGCCATGGGGTAGAGAACATGCTGGATTTAATTTCATACAGAGGAGATTACACACTAGCACCAGCATTACCATGGGGTCTTTTTCTTTCTTTCTTTTTGTTTATAAAATGTGACTTCTCAGGGATGGGTGAGGATTATAGTTCATGAATCCAAAAAACATCATAGGGCTGTGAATGGGAAATGTAACTGGAAAAACTCAAAACCATTCAGTTTCCATTGAAAAGAAAGACCATTTTTGTTTTTGTTTTGGGTGTTTTTTTTTTGTTGTTGTTGTTGTTGTTGAGAAATAACAAAGATAAAGAGACCCCAGGATCTGAAATCTCTTCTCCATATATTATATGTGAGGCAAATCTCATTAAACTATGACACATTAAAAACTAGAAAATAAAAAACATTCCTGTTCACAACCATAAATACTTGGGCTGTCTCTTCATGAGATTCGCAGTTCTCCAGTCTCATCATCTCTAAGGAGAGAACACGGTCTCATCTCATCTGCACAGTCTCCAGACCTCCACTCCAGCTATAAAAATGCCTCGCGCCCTTCAAGTCCCCTTCCTAATCCTGAAGTTATTGCAGCCTCCCACTGAGCCCCACAGCCACTAGACTTCACTCGCAACTTCTGGTGGCAACGGAGAATGCCATTTTGTTTTCTCATCTCCATCTCCATGGGTCATATTATTTCTTCAGGTAGCCAAAGAAGTTGATCGACTGGCGGAACCCCAAACCTTGGAATGCACCATCCACCAGCCACGGTCCCCCATCAGGGACCTGAGAGGAATTCTGGTGAGTTACAGTGATCCTAACACGGAGCTTCTCAGATGGACTGGCCCTTGGGTGCCACTTAATGACCACACTTGCCCGCTGTGGGACTTACCTCCTGCCAGGACCCCACCTGTGCCTTGGACCTCACTACTTCATGACGTTCTCACTCAGTGATTAGACTCAGGGCTGGACCTTTGTCCCCCCTTTAGTTGAGTTGAAATCCTTCTATGAGCTTTATCTGCTAATCCTGGCTCCAGCCTTTGGGAGGATCCATAAGAATGTCTTCCCATGGCCATACTTTAATTCTCCAAGTACATTCATCAACCCCCTCAAATATCCTTCTCTGTGCTGATCTCTACATGCCATTTGATTTAGCAATTGTTCTGGGATGATTTTCCAGGGCCCTACAAAATGTGGGCACTAAAAATGGTGTTCTAAATTTAATTCCCCCTTTGGATTAAAATAATTCAAACTCAAAAGCTTACTGCTCAGAGCCATAGATTTTATTTCCAGTTCTCTACGAAGACTAAATTCACCCCCCCTACCCAAGTGGCAGTCTACTAATGTAACATGGTTTGAAAAAAAAAAAAAGAAAAAAAAAAGTAAAAGCAGAAACCAAAACTTTAATTCAATGTGAGCATTCTCTGAGCTCCATGGACCGCTTACTTGCACAGTCAGAAAACATGGATCATTTTCAATTAGAGCCTGGGAAAGTCCAAAAAATCATAAATGAAAATAAGCTATATTTTCAATTTTCTCCAGTGACTGCAACTTCCACACCCGCAGGACAGAGAAAAAAGTGGGTGCTCATTTTTATTTCCTTTCTTTCTTTAAAGAAATCATGCATATGCTAAAAAAAAAAAATAGCAAGCTGTTAAATTTCCCAAATATGACATTATGAAGGAATTGAAGCCAAGGCTGGTTTAATAGACAACTGAATGATGAGACCTTTCTTTCGTCTTCTTCCATATATCGAATCCTTAACCTATTATTAGATGGTTTACCAAGCGGCTTAAAAAGATACAATCTACCCTTCCTACCTAGCACTTTCTGTACCTGATGATGAACGGGACTTTCCTCCTTTTTTAATGTAATGAAGTTAAGTGACTCAGCACCACCTTGATCTATTTGTTACATTTTCCAGGAAGGTCTGATTGAAGAGGAACCTGGGCGGAAGAAGATTTAAATCTACTAGGCCAGAAGGATGGACAAACCTTGACATTGAAATGTGTGACCCATTCCCTATCTGTAAATCGTGTGAATTTCAGAAATTCTTACCCCAAGCTGCACGTATTTCACAATAAAGTGTTGTGTTGGGAATCAAATGGTATAAGTGCAAAGTCTTTCCCTCACTCCAAGCTCAGGTGGGGAGGGACTTTGCTCCTTCTGAAGGATCCCTCCATGTGAGTACTGGTGGCAGATGGGAAAGGAGAGGCCATAATGTCTATTGTGGACGAAAGGGATCTTTCTGATGGTCACATTTGTCTCCTCTGCATGCAGGAGGAGAATAGCTGCATATTGGCCCAGGCCAGAAAAAGCTGGTTCACATTCTATAGGTTTGCAATTCCATCTTGACCATTCTCTACAGAAGTTAAGATAGAGCCCTGGCTCAGGCTTCCTGCCACTTGGAAAGAAGTTCCCTCCCTGTATTGTACCTACCTCCTCTGAAGGTCAGCTGGAACTCCAGTGAGGCCTGAGGGAAGAGGGGGCCTCACAGGGACCCTTGGTCCAGTGTTCCTTTTCGCTCCATATCATCTGTCCAAGCAGTGCACAATTGAAGGTTGGGACTGTCTTAATTTGTCTTCTGTTGCTATAACAAAACAACCGAGACTGGTACGTGTTAAGGAAGAGAGGCTTATTTGGGCTCAGTGTTGAAGGCTGATTAGTCCAAGCTCTGGAGGCCTCCTCGGGAGAGGGCTTCATGGTGTCTTCACATGGTGGATGGAATCACACGGAAGGAACAGGTGCAAAAGTGGACAGGGGTGTGGAAGAGGCCAAATGTGGGCTGACCTCACCTGACACCAATCCACTCTCACGGCCATTACTTCAGCCCCACAGGACTGAATGCTTGTGAGGCAGGCCTTAGTGCCTTCTGGTGGTGGGGCTACCTCGACCTTGACCTTGACCTTGGGGACCAAGCTTCCAGCACACAAGTCTTTGGGGACAAACCACATTCCAAACACAGAAGGGACCCATGCCTGAAAATGTATATCTGCTTGATTCTTTTTGATATTTTGCTTAAGAAGGCATGCTGGTGTTTCCTGTCCCTGGCCCCACAACTTCACCACTACTCACGCCACCCAAAGGCCAAAGGTGGGCTCTGTGCTGGGTCGGTGCACTGATATTTTCACTAAACAATCGGTGGTAAACAGATGCTACTGTCTTCACTTAGGTTCAGAGCTCAGGTGAGCCCCTCGGTTCTGCCTGGCTCCACATCCACTAATCCTGTCCTGGATGGGGCCGAGCAGCCAGTGGAGCTCAGTCCTTGGATGCTGGTTATTTTGCTCAAACAGGTCACTGGACCTCAGGTGTCCGGCTCACTTCTACTGGTGGCCAGTTCTCCCTGAGACACTGTGACCCCAAAATGTTCATTTATTGTCCTAACTTCGAGATGGCTACGAGACCATCTGAAAAACTCAATTTTCAGATCAAGTCTGAGCAAGCAACAAATGAACAGGGGAAAGTTCTAGGCCCTTTTGCCTCTTTTAATCAGACAAATGAAGCCTGTTTCTAACTCCCTGTCCCTCCACCTTCAAAAAAGAGGGACACCTGTGCTAAGAAATTCAACAAAGGTCAGAAGCATCCCACCGGGGGAGCAGATCCTCCCTTTTTAATAAAATATTTGTGACTGCACAAAGCTGGACTTCCCAAGGGCCTCCACTGGAAGAATCTCTAAAACTTAAAGAACTTCTTCACTCCCACTTCAGTAAAATTCGGTAATGACGTGTCCACCATCTGCTTTATGGAACAAAAGCATAACTGCATGATTTTATTAGTCAATAGATACAGGTCAGGATGACAGGCTTCCATCTGCCAATCACTCAGGAACTGCTTTTACAAAAACAAGATGATTTACAATCTTTACATTAATGATCACATTTTCCAAAAAGTCCCACTCCCACTCATGTACGTGTCCTGCTTGAAGCATCAGGTGTCCTCTGTCCCTCTTCTTCTCTGGGGCAATCTCTTTGGAGCCAGCTCCAGGCCTTCCTGAGGGGAGAGACGCTCACCCGTCTGCCTGGTGCCGGTGTTACTGCCTCCTGGTGGCCCTGGTGGCTTGCAGTTTATGTGAGCCTCTTGGGTCCACTTGATTCCCAAATGACCAAGGGGAAGGAGGAGAGCGAAAATAGCCCCTTTGTGCCGTCACATGGCGTACACCTGTAATCCCGGTGGCTCAGGAGGTGAAGGCAGAGGGATCGCAAGTTCAAGGCCAGCCTCAGCAATAGAGCAAGGCCCTAAGCAATTCAGCAAGACCTGTGCCTAAATAAAATATAAAAAAGGGCTGGGGATGTGGCTCAGTGGTTAAGAACCCTCAGGTTCAATCCCCAGTTAACAAACAAACAAACCAAAAAACACAACCCTTTACTCATATGTCAAACATGTTCCTGAATCTGAAGAACTCGCTCAATATATCAAAATAAGCCTCTTAAAATAAAGGGTGGGGAAACATCAAAGCACACATTTAATGGGATAAGTTATCCAATGTATGTGACTTTAAATGATCAAGTAGCAAAAGGATTGGCTTGAAAATAGATAGGTCATTTCCAAAGTTTTAAAAGCTTTAACAACCCCTAGCGATAACTGGAGAAAAAAAACAAAAACAGAATCCCTGTGTGTGAGCTGACAACACTTAGTGATTCTGATAGTGGAAGATACTTTAAAGTAGAATTTCTTAAGGGGATGGGGTTGAGCTGGGGATGTAGCTCAGTGGGTACAGTGCTTGCAGTGCATGCATAAGGCCCTGGGTTCAATCCCCAGCACCACCAAAAAAAAAAAAAAATGCATTTTTAATCAGCAAATGAGTGATTCGTCTGTGCACAGACAGTGGAGAATTACTGCTTTGCTTTTACAAAGTAATAGACTGCAAATGTTTGAAAGCATTGGGGAACTTTCTTCAAACACACACACAAGTCTCTCCAGCTGCAATGGGACCTCCCTCCCTCCAACCTGATCCGCCACCTACATGGATTTTACAAAACATGCCCAACTACCAATTTCTCGACCTTGGCCTAGTGTTGGAACAATGGAAACTGAATGAAATATGAGCCTGGGTTCCACTCCCTGCCCTCAAAAATGCTGATGGGACTGGGCTGGGCTGGGGTCTCTTCCCAGGTAATGAAGAACCTTCCCTCTAGGCTGAGAACCAGTTCCCATCCTTCCCCTGTGAGCATGAGACAGTCTTTCTAAACTTCTCCATTTCTCTCTTTACCTCTGCCAAATTACCCGTGATGAATGAGGAAGGAAATTAAACCTACGTACATCACATAAACTGCCACCAGAAAACCGTCAGGTCAGGTGCCAAAGGCGTGGACAGGAGGCGCGAGGATAACCAAATGGTCTGCAGTTTTTATTACTTCTGGGCACAGATGATTCCAGGACCCCAAGATACACGTTTCAACCAAGAGGAACCCACAATACACCAGCCAGAGGGAGCCTGGGCGTGATGTATCTTCAGAGAGGTGTCAGGAAGGAAAAATTCCAAGTTCACGATTTCATTTCATTAATAAAAGCCATAACAAACTAAACACATAACGAACATTAAAATACATCTCCATGTTTAATTTAAAAAATAAATAACAGCAAAGCTGAACAAAATTCTTCTACCAATGCACATCTTCCTCACTGTCCATGTTCAAAACCTAACTAGGTACAAAGTCATGTCAAAGGAGTAGCTGTAATGGTTTGGATGAATGACTCCCCAGAAATGATTCAGAGATGACTTTGGCAGCACGCACACAAGACCAGCTTTGGCTGGATCAGAAGAATCCGCCTGCAATCATGAACACGAAAGGAAAACTCTCGTTCCTCTTGTGGATTAAAATGGAGGGCTCTGAACCCACCCAGGGAGAAACTTGACGTTTTCTAATTTGAATAACTGACGGGACAGTGAAAGCCTCTAAGGAACTGATTTTTACCCAAGGACACAGGGAAGCACGATTCTTCAAATGAACTGGAAGTCTAGACATGGTGGGTCAGGTTGGCAGAGTCTTAAGAACAGTGTGGAAATGACATCATTTACAGGCTATTGAAAAGAATTACAGTGACTTAGGTCGATATTTCAAAAATAGGTGCAAGAGTCGTTATTTTAATATCTGCCAATATTTTGATCTCAATAGCTAAGGTATAGGTGCCTCAAAGCACCAATGTGGGATAAAAATCGGGGATTCCAGTGCATGGACCTAAAAGCCTTAGTAAGAATGTTTCCTTTTTTTTTTTTTGATGGTGCTGGGGATCGAACCCAGGGCCTTGTGCATGTGAGTTGGTGAGGAATTTTCCTTCTGACACACTCAAAATAAAAGAAGCTAGGCTGGAAGGGATTTGAAAAAAAATCATGCCGACTCTATTATGTAAATATCAGTTTATTTTACAGACGAGGAAACTGAGGCTTAGGAAGTGCCTATAAACTGACTTGTTAAAATGGGTCTCATCTCTGTCGTCTTACTCTGTGTTGGTGGTGGGGGTTTTCTCCCCTTTTCATTACACCTGAGAAGGGTGAGGAAGGAAGGCACGAGCTTAGAGGACCTTCTAAATGCCATTCACAAAATGGTGCTACGGGTCCCTTCTGGGAAGTGGGAAAGTCACGTGTGAAGCTGGAGGTGTTGACACGGTGGGTGGGCAGCTATCTCGAAATCCACACTCCCAGGATTTGTGCCCTCAACTGTACGTCATTTTCAATTGAATTGTCCCACAATCTGGAGGCCAACTAGAGGGCAGAGACTCTTCCAGGTTGGACAGTTGACCAAAGTGGGTCACCTCCTATCCTGCTTGGCTCCTGGCTTCATCTTGGGACTTGCATTGTGGCTGTGGTTTATAGGGGGTTTCCCTGGCAGGAGGAGATGACTGTCATCACGGAGCCACGGGTGGAAGTGGAGGAGGTGAGCAACCCATGCCCAGCAGCAGCTCTATTTAGGGTTTCAGTTTCACCCTGACTTTGCAATCCTGCAGCACCCAGAGGGAACTGCTTTTGTATTCTGGGCTGTTTTCACTAAATACGTTCCAATGCTAAATCCCGAGGGGCTAACGGTGGGTCTGGCCTTCGAGAGCAACTTCGTAGGTGCTGAATGCAACACTGCTCTGAAAAAAGCATCTCCAAGCAAGACGCCAG